ACCCAAAGAAGACTCTGACCTAACGCAAATAAAAAACTATAGACCAATATTGCTACTAAATGTAGATTACAAAATCTTCGCCTCAATAATAGCAGAAAGACTAAAGAAATTTTTGATCGAATTTATACATACAGACCAAAATGGTTTTCTACCTAAAAGACAGATAAAAAATAATTTAAGAATGATTCTTGATGTGTTAAGAGTACTATGAAATTCATCCTGGGAAACAGATGGCTTTAATATTCCTTGATGCACAGAAAGTGTTTGACAATATAAACTGGCAATTCACGTTTCAGCAACTTGCGGAAATGAACTTTGGAGAAAACTTTATAAATATAATTAAAACAATTTATCGTAAACAAACAGCCAAAATAATTGTAAATTGAGATTTTACAGAAAACTTTAACATTAAAAAAGGCACAAGACAGGGATGCCCACCATCTTCATTACTATTTATATTAACATTGGAAGTACTGAATAGAAACATTAGACAAGATATAGAAATTAAAGGACTGGAGATAAAAGATGAAAAATATAAACTACAAGCATTTGCAGATGACTTGGTTTTTATATTGGAAGATCCATTGGAAACAAGCACTAAACCTATGGAGAAAATAGAAAAATTTGGAAAAGTGGCAGGGTTGAAAAAGACTAAAGTGCTAACAAAGAATCTAATAGAAAAACAAAAAAAAATCATTCAACAAAAAAACAAATCTTCAAATAGTTAAAAAATCAAATATTTGAAACTTTATCTAACAGCAAGATGTGTAACAATAAAAAAAGATATAACTATGTAAGACTGCTAAAACTAATAAAATTAGATCTGGAAAAGTGGAAAAACTTACAACTTTCAATGCTGGGGAGAATAGCAACAGTGAAAATGAATATTTTACCAAAAATACTTTTTATTTCAAACGATTCCTGTAAGGCTGAGAAAAACCTTTTTTGATGAACTAAATACAACAATACTGAAATTTATCTGGCAAGGAAAAAAAGCTAGAATTAGACTAAAAATACTACAAGAAGCAAAAGAAAGTGGAGGATTTGGACTGCCGGATTGGATATTATACTACCAAGCAACTATTTTAACATGGCTCAAAGAATGGATAATGCTTACAGACAAAAGACTATTATACCTAGAGGGACATGACCTACAAATTGGTTGGCATGCCTTTCTGTGGTATGGGAAGAATAAAACACATAGATACTTTCAAAACCACTTTATAAGAAATGCACTTCTTTCAGAATGGGAAAAAATAAAAGCAAAGATTTATATTAAGATACCTGGATGGCTTTCAATAATGGAAGCTTTTGCTTACCTAAATTTAATTAATTACGACAAAGTTGTAACTTATAAAGATACTTTGGACAATGAAGAAAAATTGAAAGACAGACAAGATTTACAAGAACAAGGTATTGATCTATCATGGTGGCCATATCTGCAAATTCGAACGAGATAAGAAAAAGATGTTAAAACAATGGGATTCTATAAGGAACAGACAGAATTTGATCAGATACTGTTAAAAACAGATGAAAAGTTGATTAAGAAACTCTATAAATTTCTGTTAAACCTAAAGATGGAGGAAGAACAAGTTAAAGAAACGATGATAATATGGGCAAAGAACTTTGAATATAATATAAAATTAGGAGACTGGCAAAAGTTATGGGAAAGAAATGATAAATTAACTGAAGCAGTAGCATATAAAGAAAACTTATATAAAATGTTTTACAGATGGCATATGACCGTGGTGGCGAACCTATGGCACGTGTGCCACAGGTGGCACGCAGAGCCCTCTCTGTGGGCATGCTCCATCGCCCTAGGCCTTCAGCTGGGTTTTATAAAATCTTTTTGTTTTAGGCCTCCGCCACCAGGTTCAATCAATCAATAAGTTTCAACTTCTCACGGGAAAAAAAAAGATCTCGCAAAGTTGTGATTAATTGAACTTTTTGATCCCACCCAGTCTGCCATTACCACCGCAGCCACACCCACCCAGTGGGCCACGCCCACCCAGCACCCAATGATACCTAAGTGGGTTTTGGATTGCAGTTTGGGCACTCTTTCTCTAAAAGTTTTGCCATCGTTGGCATATGACACCAATGAGATTAGCAAAAATGTTTAAAAATTACTTCAAACAAGTGTTGGAAATGCAAACAAAGACCAGGTACTTACTATCATATCTGGTGGACATGCCCAAAAGCAAAAAGATTTTGAGTAAAAATACATTTATGGTTGGAGAAAATGACTAAAAAACAAATAGACTTTAAGTCAGAATTATTTTTGCTAGGAATAATAGAAGCAAATAATGAGAAAGATTGTATATATTTAATTCTACACGTACTAACTGCAGCAAGAGTTGTATTTGCCCAAGATTGGAAAAATGAAAATTTACCAACTGAAGAAGTATTAATTAAGAACATTTTAGAGTGTGCAGAAATGGACAGATAGACTTTAAAGATAAAAGACAAAGAAGATTCAGTGTATTTTAGCACATGGAATAATTTCTATCAATGGCTAGAAACATGAGTTAGAGAGAAAGGAATGTGATATGTAACTTTGAATATATATTAGTAAGAAGAAGACTATCGAGCGATTAACATATTGTTTATGATAATTATCTATTCTTTCTTGTTAAACACATGAACCCAAACATTATGCTGTTTGCTAAATATTGAGAATGTTATTTGGAAAAACACTAACCCCAACCCAAATCCCAACCCCAATCCCGATTCCACCGCATTCCAGACCCTACAAAAACTAATAAAATTTATACAAAAAAAAGTTACCAAGACTGCTAAATAGTTAGAAATCTGATAATGATTTCTTAGCTAAAAGAAAGACAGAGTGTGCCCCCCCTCCTCTGAAAAGGCGTGAGAATGAAGTAAGAAGAGCATTTACTAGGATGGATCACCAAACTATACAGAAGCTTTCCAATTCTGCTAGCCATCAAGGCAAAACAGGGCAACTGTTGAATCCTCCCTCTCCTAACAGCAAGGATAGCAAAACACTGAAATGGGAAAAAGTGAAAAGGTTTTTATGGAATAGGCAACAAGATCTTTGCTGAATATCTGGCATGGGAAAGTGTCCCCCAAAATGTTCCCCTTCCATACAGCACTGGAATTTTGCTTAGGTCATATTAAATATCAGTGCTGAGGATGTTTTGCTTTAGCTTACAGCAGCTTCTCTCAGGGCTGCATAAAGTGAAAACAGCGGGCTGTAATGTTTCAGGTTGTGAGAATGCCTCACTTCCACAACATTCTTCAGCTCTTTGCCCCCCTCCCAAAAAAGTGCAGCAAAGTGTCTCCATGTATGAGATTCCAGTCTCAGAAAGACCCTAAAAAGGAATTCATAGCAATGCTCTCAAAAATTTAAATTGAAATGCCTCTATAGACTTCTATATAACTTATAACAAATCTATGAGCTGTATAAAGAAATGGGTACCTAAGCCTTGAAAAAATTAATTGTAGCAAAAGCATGTTTGTTGTTATTGTGGTTGGCAAAATACAGAAACTGCATTTGAAAATATATGGCCCCTGTGGTGATATAACATGACTTTTGCTAAGAAACCAAAGAAGGACATTTTAGAAGTGTATGACTAATGTGCTTTGGTAAGATTGTAACAAAAGGATTAGACCAGGATTCTGTTGTATGGCTCCAACCATATGCCTAAGAGAAGCCCATAGACAGAACCTAACTTTATAACACTCTCATGCCTATGTTTTCCAGTAAGTGGCAATGTGATTTAATAGAAATAGATAGAATAATATATATTGGATGATAAGGCTGGTGAAAACTGGTGGTCATTTTCACATCTTTACAATCACAGCTTAACTATCAATTTCCTACCATTCATAGTTATTGGATGACTCTACAATCCACAATTATGAGAAAGCCCCCAAATCTATACCAGACTCTTCTAATTCTCTTTTCTTTAATTCAAAAGAACTTCCCCACAGGGCTGTTGTTGTGGGGAAACAGGAGAAAGATGTGTTAGATATGCTCACTGCCTTGAGTTATTTGTAAAAATTATAAAGCGGGATACAAACAAATAAATAAGCCGTTTCCTCAAAGTTGGCCACATTGATGTTCATTTTACATCTGGTTAAACACAAAGAAAATGTTCCAATTCCAAAACAATTGCTCAGGGAACCCCAGTATCAATCTATTTTTGATCATTGGTTCCTGATCTTGAACCAATTACCAATCCATAAGGGAACCTCTCTTCTCTTCTTATGAATGCTACATTGGTCCAGATTTCAGTGAGGAATTTTTGAAATTCAAAGTACAGGTAATTCTCAACTTATTCACTTAACAATGGTTTGAATTGACAATGGCCTCCCAAAAAGTCAGTTAAGACCTAAATTTGAACTTTTCACCATCATCTTGTCCCTACGGTCACATGATCACAATTCAGGCACTTGGCAACCAGTTCATATTTACAACTGTTTGCAGTCACATGATCACATGACACTTTTCACTGTTTTCCAGCAAAAAAATTATCATTAAACTGAATTCACACTTACACACATGTGAATCAACTTATGGTCCCCATAAAAATGGTCATAAAATCAGTTGCATATGATGACTTGATTTATGATTGCAACAATTTACAACAAAATTGTGATCTCAATTATGATCATAAATCAAGGATTACCTATAAGCAGTATATATTTTATAATACTAGCAAAATCTAGTTTTATTATATCTGCTATTTGTCACATCATCATCATCATCATCATCGTTGTTGTTATTTGAATTTATTTGCCATCCATTTCGCCACAAGGAGTCTCTGGGAGACTTACCTCATAGAATCACATGGAGCAGAGAAACAAAATAGCTAAGATTTTAAATAAATTTTAACATTCCAAATTAATCACTTCCATTTCAACAGTACTAAGATGATATGGTAAACTGTACATACTTTATTGCAATTCTAAATCCCTGGCTAAATGAGCACATAATCAAAAGAACAGAATAGGAGTAGGAACAAAAGGGACATTACCTGGATACACACTGGGAGGGGATGGAGTAGGGACAGCAATAGGGACGCCCACACTTCCACTCCCACTGTTCTCTCGACTGCTGCTCCTACTGCTGGGATGGCTCCCTCCGCTGCTTCCGCTGCTGCTAAAAGAAATCCAAACCACCAAAGTAACTATGTTCCATTCCCTAACAGGTAAACTGCAGCTACAAAACATTATAGGAGCTTGCTAAATTTGCCATTTCAGAGACCAATAGAAACTTGGTTTGTTTTTAAAATGTCTTGCCAATGCCTGAGTTAAATTAGGAAACATCATTCAGGATCAGTAAGTACAGATGAAATGATCATAAACAGCTTCAAGAGCATTTTCTAAAAATCTTGGTAATATGGAACTTTGGTGGAAAGAAGCTGGTTTCGTTTAAAGTGTGTAATGCTCTTTGAAGTGAAAACGTCTACACATAAAATAGTTGTCTTTGTAAATGGTCATGAGAGCTCTCTAGCATATGCTAACTTTTTTTTTTCCTTGCGTACTGCTGGCCTGCTCTGAAGGTTGATTCCACATTGCAAAAACTATTTTACTAAGGTTATTTTCCTGCTGTTACAATATGTCTTCTAAAGGTCAACAGAAATAAATAATATTAGCCACATTTCAAGTCAACTGAACTACACATTTGTTCAAAATTGGCAGCACTTTCACAAGCTTCAAAATTTCACCACTTCACAATTTTGGACATAAACTTCACAGTTGCGTTATTCTTGTCAGCAGGCACCACTTTTTAGAAGCTAGGTATCACACCAGTTATAAAGAGAAGGTAAGCAGTAAAAATAAATACATTAAGTACAATAATATTTGTTACGCAATGCAGTAATGTATTGTATATTGTTTTTGAACAAAACAAAACTTGTTCCAAGACAAACAACTTCACACTACACAACACGTAGTATAAGCAGCATGGTTTCTCTCTATCTCCCAATGGATTTCCCAGGAAATCACATGAATTTATGAAGCTCTAAGTGGAGAGGTGGGGTGGAGTGGGGTGGGGTGGTTAAAAGCAGATTGCTATAAACCGAGTTGTCTGTCTTAATTATTGTTAATATTTTGCGCAGGAGCAGAGTGAATACCTGTAAGTGCGATTCCTCTGATTCACAGAAGCTGTTCTAACAGGGCTCTGCTGCGAGGGAGCGATATTACGGGTAGGGCTAGGTACATAGTCATTTGGTACCACTGGAGGACGCACTGGCTCCAGTGTGCGATAGGGAGAGTGACGCCTACACAAGAAAAACATGTATGGAAGCAATTTCAGACAATGAAATACAAAGACCTTTTGGGCAAGGCAGTGCAGAAGTCTTGCTAGATTGTTCTGCTCAAAAATGCACAGGGCTGGATCCACTGCACTGCAGGAGTAGCGTATGTGTAGGATTTCCTTAGGCCCAGCTTTCCCAGCTGGCATCTATGTAGATAATTCACAAAGAGATCCATGCATGCCTGCCATAACCTATTCCTCCCTCCCTCTTTCCTCAAGATCATTTATGTACTGGGGCAGAAAGGAGAGATGGGATTGGGTTATAAGAGGCATGCACAGAGTTCCTATTCCCCTTGATGGACTGTCATGCTACATGTAACAGGCATCCCTAAGGAGAAGAAAGGAAGAGAGAATAGGATTCTTTGGAGTTGAAAAAAATCCCCACATTATGGTACTGGGCCATGACATTTTCTATTCATGTACTACAAGGTATTCAGGCTGGTCACTTTTTCCAAATATAGCCAAAAATAGTGTACAAAAATAGCTATTCAAACTGCAAGCACTAGCCCAAAGGCTTCCACAGAAAAAATGTATCTTATATTTCCAATAACTATGCAACACTTCTTGGTGATATTATGGATAAGTTTACGCTTGCAATAAAGATGTCTTCAAACCCCAGATTGCAGATTTAAGTACCTTTATGCCAAGAGACAATTGTAAAAATTAAAAGAAAGTTTTAGCTTTCCCCTTTACATTCTCTCCCTCCACCTTCTGATGTATATGCAATTATACTTACCCAATAGTTCCCTTCCCTGACATTGGTGGACTGGGGGGTTTCTGGGTGGGTGGTGTGGTACGAGGCAGACCACCCATTTTCATATTCTGCGTGCTAACCTGTGTAAGAGGTAATGGAAGAAAATAATCTCACTGAAACTTAAATAAGAGTCCTTATTTGATCTTGATCTACTATATTAAAGAGACAAGGAAATGGGCAATTTTTTTAAAAAAAAAAACCCCAAACTAGTCAGTCATACATACGTGTGCTATTTCTACCCTTGTTTATAAATTATTAAATTGTGGTTGTATATAGTGTGATGGTGTAGTTTTGAGACAGAGTTTGCCTTAGGCCACCACATTTACATTTAGATCATTGGCAATGTGGCATAGTAAATCTACCTCCATGAAAGTTGTTGAGCTTTGTAGACTCATCTTAGGAATTGGAGACAAATTACTGTCCCAAGAATGCAGTACTGTAGTTGTCTACTTCAATGAGATTGAAAAGTAACTGTATCTGAAACATTTTATTGGCTGTGCCTTAATTATATTGTAGGCATGTGAGTTTTTCCATTACATATAATTAATTACAGTACATGCTCCAAAGCTGGTTTGGAGCTTGATTCTCACTATACATATTCTTGCTAACAAATACAAATTTACAACTGCATAGTGTATGAAAATCCAATATGATTTTACTGCCTCTGTCTTTCAGGAATAATTTTCTTTTCATGAATGCCTTGCATATAATTTTATTAGCTATTCCAAGAAATTCCTGAAGTGTATGAGCTCTCATAATAAGTTTTATAACAAAATTGGAATGAGAAACATGAATCCAATTTTCTTTTCAATCTACTTAATCATATATCACCATTTGTTAAGGGAACGCAAAGGTTTGCCAGAGTCAACAGCAACAGGAAGTAGTGATAAAGCGTAGGCACTGCCAATCCAACAGCTTCCCTTGCCCTTTCATCATCATCATAAGAATTCTATTCAGTCTCTCTCCCTTAATATGGCTTGGGATATAAATCTTGATAAGCCATTTCTCCAAGAATCATTGAGATAGGGGGATTCTTTTTTGGCATGAAGAGCAGAAGAATTTGACCCAAAGAACAGATACTAAATTTAATTTTTGTTACAATTATTTAAAATTGTTGAAACCACAACAGAAATAAACTATGTTATATCACTAACATCATACATTCAAAGAGCAATTAAAATTTCAAGCATGTAGCTTCTGAAGGGACAGTTCATTCTGAGCTTATAGGATAAATAATCCAATATTTAAATTAAAAATATTTAAATAAACCTTAAAATGGGTTTCATTAGCATTGCACATTGAATATAATTGTAAAATTTAACATTAAAATCACACTGGTATTACTGTACTTTTGGAAGCTTCTAAAAATTGAATTCTTCTAGAAACCATATTATGATGTGCTATGCAGCATAAGATAAATATTTACATTTATATTTATTATGTTGCTGGGATATTATTAATTTTTGTTCTTAATTATTTTTACCATGAATATTTTAATGTGTAATTGTGTTGCAGCAATTTACAAATAAAATAAATAGTATACAAAACTGTAAAAAAATAAAATATTATCCTCACTTAACAGTAAATACAAAAAACCCAAGTTATAATTAGTGCACTAATTACCTCAATTTTTCAGTTAATTTTACTCATCATATCAGTAAATCAAATTATATAAATGATGCTATAAATTCAAGGTATAAATAAGTAAATGTCTCATGTTCCCACAGAATGTTTTATGAAATAAACAGGATTTTAATCAATCATAAATGTGATAGAAATTGTGATGATTTCTCTATAGATAAGAAAAAAGATCACTAAGTGAAGGAATCACTAAAATGTGAGTCAATCTAGGTTTAAGAATTAAGATTTGACATGGCCTTTGGAAAGTTATTCAACAATATTTCTTTACCGTAAAAGCAACACTAATAATGCATTCACAGTGTCTGTAAATTTATGGGACACCCTACAGTTTAAAGCTTCTGAATCTATCTAAAAGTCCAAGAAGCATGGCATTCTGCAGCTACCATTATAATGGAATGTTATGAAACCTGGAGGTGATGGATGCTATATCTTATATTTGGATGGCATCAAGTTAAACAAGATTGTCAGTACTTTAGAATAGTTAATATATGCAGAATATTTGGTAATTTTAGATTATCTATATACAATATCCAGGGAATCAGTGCCAAAAATACGGAAATATGAATTCAAGATTACCGAATATATTCTGAGATTTGTCTAAAAATCTTCCAGCAAGTGTAAATTTATTTATTTATTTATGAGACTTATATACCGCTTTAAGTGCAAGCACTCTCTAAATGCATACGAGTTGCTTCACTGTTCCTCACAACATCAGCAATACAGGGGGAAAGTAATAGTGGTTTTGGTGACCTTAGTAAAGACCATGTGAGACAGTTATGGCTGTGCCTATTGCTGATGTTCAGCTTTTATAGATTACCTCAGAAGTAAATAAGTCCTCCTTATTCTTATTCTTATTTTTGGTAGACTGGCTTTCAGATATTTGTTAGACATGTGATACATTGACATTTAAGAGTCAATTGTGAATCTGTATTCACTTTCAGAAAAAATAGCAAAATGCCACAAAGAGGAATGCAAATATTCAATACCTTGCCATCAAAATATTTATCTGCTAAGGCATGAACAAAACAAAAGATTTAAACACAGTGCTCAACTTAACTAACGTTCAAAAACTAAGATGTGTTTGGCATAGGTCCAATTTTTTGTCACCAGTTATACTGTCTTTTTTAAAAAAATCAATTTCCACATTATTAAATCACCAACTCCTCCAGAGGCAAGGATACAGTTATATCCCTAAGGACAATCCCACTTTAGACTCACAAGAACTTTGTAAACTACATTACATTTAAGTGAGCTGAATATTATAGTTAGTACAGTACAGAACCGAACTCTGCACATACTAGTTAATTACATGATAAAAATCACTATGTAAACAAGCCAAAGTTGGCAGTACAGCTACTTAGTACCAAATCCCATCATGTTCAGCACAACTTTAGGGACTCTACTGTGCCTTCATCTTTCATCTACATCTCTTATGGTTACCCACAAGGGACAAATTACTAGCATTAGGTTGAAATTCATGGGGACTGCTCACATTCTTAAAGCAACAAAGGTTACTTACAAAGTATCATCAAAGGGCTCAGGATAATTAGGAGAGTCATTTTGGTACTTTTATTATTGTTATATCTACTCCTACTTTATATCAACCCCCCAAAAAGGGAAGAATTTCTCAGGGTATGACTCTGTCCACCCAATTATCTAATTTGTAGATAATTAGTTCTGTGCAGTCAAGGAGTTGATTCCAAATGGACTTTAGGCACACATTTTTCTGTTCTATATTACTTAACTGTAAACACATTGGTTATGAATGTAGTTTAATATAAAAATACTCAGAACATAAAAAGTAACCTTAAATCCTACTATAAATAATGAAGACAACAAAACATAGCAGAATCTATATAAACGTATATATTTCCAAAGGAACTACAATATACAGATCTGCAACACTAGCCTAATAGTAAGACTGGTGTAGCAGTTCAAAAATTTGCTTAATAATTGATAGTATAACTTAAAAACATATAAAATAAACATGCCCCAAGTTATATTTGATTTTGCAAAATAAAATAAGTTTGCAAATTCAAACTTGGCTCATGAATGAGACCAAATCACATCATATAAATAATAATATATTATTACACAGGGGGAGAGAAGACCTGTCACAAACTTATATTTTTGCATGTAAAATGTGATTGCTGAAGGCCTTGCTAGTTTTCTAGTTCTTTCAGCATCTAGCATATTTTTAAGATTCAAGAAACATATTAAAGGTTACTTTCTTCCTATGAGCTTGGCAAGAAACAACATTCTCCCCATATGTAACAGTCTCAAATATAAGAATGAAATCCAGCCCTGATGTTTCTTACCTTAAATCTAAGCAACCACTTAATGCATAAATGAAGCAAATAAAAGAGGTAAGGAAGAAAAGCATTGAAAGGTTAGTTGAAATTTCAGGATATGAAGAAAGAAGGGAAAAAGAAAAGTTAAGCACTTAGCATCAACTAAATAATGTATCAATAGATCATAGAAAGAGTGATTAAAGCAGAAGGTGTTATGAATAAAGGTTTTCACAATGAATAACTTCAAAACATTATTAACAGAATTTGTTAACAAATTTGTTAACAAATAACAATGATAAATTGAATTCTAAATTATTATTTTGCACATGTAGCATATTCATGAATCTCATACATGCTATAAAATACTGAGAAAAGAAGTTCACCCAATATAGATTTTAGGGCTGTGAAAATCCTTCAGAAGAATCGGTTCAATCCTGCTAGAACAAAACTCTCCTTGGAACATTAAAACAGTGGTATCTTTTTCCAGGCTCACCTACTGTGCCAGCTAACTCTATATACTTGCACAAACCAAGCCACTTCCTGTTGCTTTTTGGTTTGCATGCACACACATTCAAAGACAACTGAGAATAGCTTCTGAAGCAGTCACAAGTGTACAAAAGGACACAGCTGTTTTAATAAATCAAAAGCAGATTCTTTATACATGATTTTATAATTATATTCTAAAACACCTCATTTGAAGGAATTTATTCAGCTATAAGTGATTTACTATTCATCTATTCTTCTATTGCTAAATCTATTAAAAATTCTGATGAAGTACACACCCCTGCCCATGTAGACTCAATTATAAAGTTACTCTCAAATTAAAATCCTTCACTTGATTAAAAAGCTTAGCAGCTTCTCACACAACAGGGCTTTGCAACACTTCAAATTTGAAGAGAAATAGATGCTTTGGAGCACACAGCATGCTCCCTGAACCAGGGTTCTCAAACAGGTTTCACAAGTAACTTATAAACTGGGCACAGCTTTTGTTTAAGACTTTCTGCTTTGCAGAAAGTTAAAGTAGGGCATTATCAAAACCTGTTTGGACTATATCGTTTTCCACAAATAATTTTTATTTCTAAGTACTTTTATTCTGGTTTTCTATTTATAGCATTCATGTTACATAATAATTAAATTAATGGCCTGTACGCTCCCTTAAACTTAGGTTTTATTTAGTCATTACCTCCACTATTCATTACCATTATCTTATAGGTAGGGGCAGTGAACTGCATTTAATCAGTCTATCCACCAGCACAAGAGAAACTGTTGGCAAAGCAGATTTCCTTTTTTTGTGTGAGCAATTCACACTCCTTAATGTGCTCCAGAACATTAATGAACATTCCAGAACAGATTTAGAGTATACAAGGAAGAACAGGAATGAACTGTTTTGATATTAGATAGAACTCATAATTATTACCAAAGAGGATACAACATATCATATATATTTCTGTTGTTGTGCTTACAAATTAACCTTGCATTTCAAATATTCTTTCAGATAGGGCAAACTGACATACACATATTTGATTATTATTTGTCTCCCGGATGGCTATATTGAAAGAAAAACAGAACCAAACATGCTATCCCATAAATCAAAGGTGCTATGTTATTTCTACAGTCCAAATGTAAATATGTGTTAAGAGCTACAGAAACACTCTGTATTTGTTTTATAAAAGCTGGAGACATGATAACTATAAGAAAAATAATTGTAGTTTATTCTATGCATCATCTTCACAATACGACTGTCCTATGCATGCAATGTTTAGGAAATTCACTAATGTTTAAATTGAGAATTTCAATCAAAGGTTATTGTGCACTTTCAGAATAGTTTTATATTATAATCAACACAGTAAATGTTTTCACTGAAGAAAGATGGATTTAAATATATTTCAAATTTCACAAGCTTCACCGAAGAATCTGAATCATTACATTCTGGATGTGAAGTAAACAGTAATATACTTAGTTCAAGAAAAAATTCACAAACAAATGCATTTCTTTGCAAGGTAAATAATTCCCCAGAAAATACAATTTCATATTATTTTGTCATTTCTGCTACTATGCTGACTGAAAATGCTGCAGGTACTGTAAATTGTTTCTTTTCACATTAACTTTTTCCTTCTCATTGGTATTTCCACATCACTTCATATATTTTAAGGTTGTGTTCCAGAGACGCATGCAATAAATGAAGAAACTTTACGCATGCAATTAAATATGCAGCTACACAGTGCATGCATACAAATTTAATATGTAATTCTATCTGTAATTTAGCAACACTTAAATCATAGGTGTTGTTACAGACACATACCCAGTAGATCCCAGATATTTTTTATGGTTTATCTTACTTTTCTGTTTTAAAAGGATATTCAAAGATTAATTTTGCTTATTATACAAGTCTGGAATTAACTGAGTCTAGAATCAAGATAGTAGGCAGCAGACAAATCCATATAATAAATATAAATAAATTGGTCTGACCAAAGGAAAGATTAATATCATGCTTGCAATAGTATTATAATAAGATTTTAATTCACAAGCAAACCGAAAAGAAGTATTACGTTGTCAGTCAGTACTGCTTGTACCAAATCAAAATCAAGAGAGCACAAATGAATTTTATTTTTTGCTCAAAGACACAAAGAACAATACATTACAGGATCAATAATATAAAAGGTAAACAAACCATGCTAGTAATTGGAGTAATTGGAGAATGCAAGGGAGCCTCTCCAGACAAACATTTTTGCATTCTTAAAACATACAGGCAGATTAATACATTTGAATTATTTCATCTCACCACTTACCTTTACCCCATGACCAATATCATCAAGAATTGTATAATCAATAGGTTTCCTGATATAACGAACAGGTCGTTCCAAGTTGGCTGGCGCAATGATTTTGTGAGTTCTTGAAGTGTTCTTGTTCGTAGTCAAGATGCCAATTTCTCTTCTAGCCACTTTTTCCTTGTGTATATCAACTGTCTGCAGGCAGAATCGATATATACATTATAACAATTTTTAAAAAATAATCATTAAATATCATTAAACAAAACAGCTACAATTGTTACATATTTTATTCCTTTTGGTATCATAAAACAAATTTAATTTCATACAAAAACTTCTGGGATACACAGAACAGTCCTTATACTAGTGCTATATTATTAAGTAATTAAAGAAAAAACAAATTCTTTTAAAGTACAAATTATAATTGTACTTTGATAATTAAAAATGACATACATTTTCATAAGATGCATTTTCCCTATCATTAAGTGATGAGATATTCCTTCTAGAAATATGAGCCATTCTATGTGTACATGAATCATTCTATATGATTAATAGTGTTACATCAAGGATTCCTTCTGTACATTGATTACTGTGTATTATAAATACCTAGGTCTGCTGCTCTCTCAGATCTTTACAGAAATTTAACATTAGATACAACTGTGCAAAATACTACTTCCACTTATTGTCCCCAATATGGACTTCCTGGAATGAAATGAATAATTTTATGCTTCCTAATATTGTTTTTATCTAATGTGAGACAGTGTCATGGAAAAAATTATATCTTCAGATTGTATAATTTTTTTTAATGCTGCAGGTCCTAATAACCGAATGAACTCATTGCCATAATTGAACATTTTGTGAAACTGGCAATTCAGATTAAAATTTTTAGCAAAACATCCCAAGGAAATAATAAATAGTATTATTCAGCATGTGTTGCAATAATAATACATTTCAAGTATGAATTTTACATGGTAAAGCTGTCTAATGAAGTTTTTTTTTATTTCTAGAAGTTTTGAAAAAGGGCATATTTTATTTTCTTCAAGAAAAATAATTATTTTTTCCATAAAAACTAAAAGACAGCAGATTGTATCTGCCTACATGAAACAGTGTAATTTCACTGTATTACACTGAGCCTTAAATATAAAATGACTAAATATATTATCTTACTTGTGAAATGTGGTTGATTGAAGATTCCATACGCCTAAGCTGGGAGGCCTGGATATCCAGCATTTGCAGAACATTATTTGCCAAAGTGTTGATCAGATAGGCTACACTAGCTAAGGACTGAGTTGTGTATGCTTTGGTTTCTTCTAGAGCCCGTTGTTTATCTGGTGACTAAAGAAAAAAAAAATCAATCAGAACTGTACATTTTTTCATATACGTCCTGTGCATCTTTTTAAGCCAATAAACATATTATAGTCATTTCCCACAATTTCTTTCCTAGGTCAAATTGTTCTTTCATGGTGTTTTATTATATAAACTGCTGGCATTAGAAAAGTTGAGAAAAGACCAAAGAAGTGGCTTAAAGGAAAAACTGCCATACACTGTGTGCACAATTATTAGGCAAGTGAGTATTTTGACCATATCAGTGTCATGCATATTTTCCACTTCCAAGCTGTAAAAACTTGAATGCTTAATGGATATAAGCATATCCTGATGTGTATTTGTGTAACGAGGGAGAGTGTGGCCTAAGAAGATCAACGCCCTATATCAGGGGTAGGCAACCTTGGCTCTTTTATGATTCGTGGACTTCAACTCCCAGAATTCCTGAGCCAGCCAGCTCAGGAATTCTGGGAGTTGAAGTCCACGAGTCATAAAAGAGCCAAGGTTGCCTACCCCTGCCCTAAATCAAGGTGTGTGTAATTATTAGCTTCTTTTCCTCAGGCAAAATGGGCCAAAAGGTTTTTCAGAGGGACGCAGCGCTCTTGAAACTGCTAAATATATTGGGGTGTGATCACAGAACCATCAAATGTTTTGTTGCAAATAGTCAACAGAGTCGCAAGAAACATGTTGAGAAAAAAAGATGCACATTAACTGACAAAGTTTTGAGAAGGATCAAACGTGAAGCTACCAGGAACCCATTATCTTCCAGTGCTGTCATATTCCAGGACTGCAGCCTACCTGGAGTGCCCAGGAGTACAAGCTGTTCAGTGCCCAGAAGTACAAGCTGTTCACCACTGAACAAGACACATAAGTTGAAACGGCAAGACTGAGCCAAAAAATATCTGATTTTTCAAAGGTTTTATGGATAAGATGAGAGTGATTCTTGACGCTCCAGATGGATGGGCCTGTGGCTGGATCAGTAACACACACAGAGCTCTACTTCGACTCAGACGTCAACTAGTATGGGCTGGTATTATTAAAGATGAGCTAGTTGGACCTTTTTGAGTTGGACTCAAAATCAACAAACCAAACCTACTGCCAGTTCACTTCCTAGCGGTTTCTCAAACCATGCCCAAATCATCCCAGAAAAAGCAGACTATTTTGAGATTTGAGGGTAGTTTCAATTTGAATAAAAAGCCCAAAAATATCTGAGCATTTTGCTAACAAACATAAGTACAATTTTTCAATTCAGGAGAGGGCATAAATGGGAAAGTGAAGAACTACTGATCTGTTGGAATTTTCCCTTCATTGGGGACCAAGTAAGTAGCTTTCATTTTTATGAGATTTTCATAAATTTAACAGATGAAATCAATCATAATAATATGTGTATCAAACTTTTTCTACAAGCTCTGTCCTACATTTTATATAACTGGTGCAAACTACTGCAAAACAAGCAATCATCTTCATTATTAGATTTGCAAATGTATTATAGCAGGGCAATGGAAATACTGTATCTTGTAAAAACAATATGACTGAATTAACATTCAACAATGTCAAATCTCATTTTATTTCTTCAAAAAATATGTATGGAAGTAAGAGACCTAGATACAATTTCAGTAAATTGCTAGTACTTTTAATAATTATATATATTTTTGCAATACAAACACAAACGTTCCCTATACTACAAGGAACATTTGTGTTTGTTGTGATATAACAAAGTACTTCTGAAAAAATTAGACTGATCACTTTTAACACACTCTCAGTATACACTATCTCTAATGTGTTTGTCACAATAAAAATAACCTCAATATAAAATATTTTTAATATAATATTCACCAAAGATGGCAAAATTCCCTTTTTTTTAGAAAGGACTAGACTCTAAATAAAAGGGGCGTTGTCTTACCTGAACGCCTTTTCTCAGCATGATGATGGATAATCCACGGATTGGGTTTCCTGAAATCCCTTCTACCCAATAGACTAAGTCTGAGAGTTAGCCATGCTTCCCGCTAGGCCGTGCTGCCCCAGTTCCGACGAAGGCGAAGCAGCAGACTAAGTCCGACACGTTGGTTCCCTGACCCCTGACACAGGACCTGACAGTCACTATAGGGCGGGAGTGATTAACCATCATCATGCTGAGAAAAGGCGTTCAAGTAAGAGAACACCCCTTCTCCAGCATGAGAATGGATAATCCACAGATTGGGACATACCAAAGCCTGCTCTGTCCCTATGGGGGGGGGGGAAACAGTCAGGACAGGTGGTCCTCCCAACGACGCCAGTCTTTGTAACACCCTGCAGCCAAAAGAAGCTACAGCAGAAGCAAATTTGTCAATTTTATAATGTCGTATAAATGGGGAGGGCGACGACCAGGTCGTTGCTCGACAAATCTCCTCAATTGGCGCTTGAGTCGCCCAGGCCGCTGAAGTTGCAGCACTGTGGGTGGAATGAGCAGTGATACGGTTAGGAATGGATAAGGACTGGGAGTGGTATGCCTTGGCGATACAGGCCTTGATCCACCTTCCAATGGTGGACGACAAGACCTTCTGCCCCAAGGAAGAAGGCTGGAAAGAAATAAAAAGTGCTTCCGATTTACGGAAGACAGAAGTCTGCTTTATGTAAAGGCTTAATGCTCTGCGCACATCCAAGGTGTCCCACTGGTGTTCCAGATCGTGAGACAGCCGAGGACAAAAGCTCAGCAGAACGAGCTCCTGTGAACGATGGAATAAAGTGTTCACCTTAGGAATAAATGATGGATCCAGTTGAAGGGTCACACAATCCATATGAAAGACGCATAGATCCTCCCTAACAGAGAGCACTGCCAACTCGGATATGCATCTGGCTGAAGTCACTGCCACCAGAAAGGCTACTTTCATTGACAAAAGTCTCAAATCACAAGACTTAAGTGGCTCAAACAGCGATCTGGTAAAAGCTTGTAGTACACATGAAAGGGATACCTATGGGGATATCTACGGACTGTGGGTGGTTTTGTGTTGATGACCCTCTTAATGAAGGAACGAACCATCGGGTGATGAGCCAAAGAAGAATCGTCGCATGAGAGCCACCGTGACTAGGGCCGCTACCTGCCTTTTGATGGTATTCGGAGAGAGGCCTTTGTCGATCCCGTCCATCAAACATTCCAAAATTCTAGGCACAGTAAGTGATGACATATCAATATGATTCCTGGAACACCAATTGAAGAAGTTCTTCCAGGTGGAGTCATAAATTCTATTGGTAGACGGACGCCTTGAAGCCTGGATCATGTTGATAACCCTCGTTGGATAAGACTTTTGAGTCAGACGCTGCCATTCAAGTGCCAGGCAGTTAGCTGAAGCCATTGTGGGTCAGGGTGTTGAAGTGCTCCTTGACTGAGCGCTATGCGATCCAGAGGTATCCTCCACAGCACCCGAGATGGAAAGGCTCACGAGATCAGCAAACCATGGACCTCTCGGCCAATGTGGAGCAATGAGAATGACCTCTGCCCTCTCCCGTAAAATCTTGCAAATAACTGCAGGCATTAGAGGAAGAGGGGGAAACACGTACAGTAGCTCCCGGGGCCATGGACTGAGGAGAGCGTCCACTCTTTCTGCCCCTGGAGACGGAAATCAGGAGAAGCTCAGGAGTTGCAAATTTGCTGATGACACGAACAGATCCAGTGCTGGTTGTCCGAACCTGCCCATTATCTCCGCGAACAGTGCCGGTTTCAGACGCCACTCGGAGTGGTCTACCGTTGCCCTGCTCAGGGCATCCGCCTGTTCGTTTATCACCCCCGAAATATGGTCCGCCTTGATGGAGGAAAGGTTGGTCTCTGCCCAGGAGCATAGCAGCCTAGCCTCGGTCATGAGCGACTCGGACCGGGTACCTCCCTGACGGTTCATGTGAAGTTTGGCTATTATGTTGTCCGTGAGGACAAGAAAGTGCTGACCTGACCCTTCACCTTGTGTTTGAAGTGTTGCAATGCCAGGTGTATGGCTCTGAGCTCCAGCCAGTTTATATTGTGCTCCAGGTCCCGTCGAGACCAGCAACCCTGAGCCAACTGGGATTGGAGATGAGCTCCCTAGCCAAATAGGCTGGCGTTGGTGATGAGAATGATTTGGGACAGTTCCTTGAAGTTGGAACCCCTCGCTACAGAATGGGAGGTCCACCATCGGAGTGACTTCGACACTAGAGGTGTCACCCTCACTGACCTATTGGAGGAGGTAAGTTTCCGCCTTTGAAAGGGGAGGAGGAACCACTGCAGGACCTTTGAGTGCAACCTGGCCCAAGCACTATGGACATGCATGAGATCATCTTCCCTAAGAGTTGGGAGAGAGTAATTAGAGGAATAACACGGGCGTGTTGGACCTGATGTACCAGGGCCCGGATACTGATCTGGCAGTCCGCTGACAAGTAGACCATGCACTATTCAGTATCTACTACTGCTCCTAAGTGAAGAAGACACGTAGAGGGAACTAACTGGCTCTTTAGGAAGTTCACAGAGAATCCGTGGTTCTGAAGTACCTCAATGGTGAGGGCTACGTCCGACCTTGCTGTCTGAACTGACACGGACTGTATGAGGATGTTGTCCAGATAGCACTGGACCCGTATTGGGACCAGTCTCAGGTGGGCGGCTAGGACCCACAGGATCTTTGTAAACACCCTCGGGGCAGATAACAGGCCAAATGGAAGAGCTCTGTATTGATAATGACAAGATTTGTAACAGAATCTGAGAAATCTGCGGTGTTTGAGAAGGATTGGAATATGTAGGTACGCTTCCGTGAGGTCGATTAACATCAGGAAGTAGTTCCTCCTGATACTGGCCAAAATAGATTGCAGAATCTGCATCTTGAATTTTTTGTAAATCAAGTAGGTATTTAGTCTTTTTAGATCGAGAATGGCCCTCCATCCTCCCGAGGCTTTTGGCACTACAAAGAGTATGGAATAAAAACCTTTTCCTCTCTGATCGGCCAGGACTGGTTCTACGGCTTTTATCTCCAAAAGGTGATGTATGGCCTCTTTCATGAAGTATCTTTTGGATG